GCCGCCTCATGTTATACACCATATCCTTGAGAGGACCCTTACGTGACGCTCCTCACTTTTGATCGGATGCTTCACTCATCAAAACGTTGTGTTGAATCTTTAACTTCTTTCTCCTTCTTAGCCTCTGCATTTCTTGGTGACTTTCAATTCACCATACAAAGATAATTTTCTTGCCTTTTCTCATGCTTTGCTGTGTTTTATAATTGACACCTTCTTGTCAATTATTTCTTCTTTAGACATCGGAACTCTTGAGTTTTCTTTTACCCTGGAGACTTCTCCATGTCTCCTTCTCTTATATGTGTGCGTGAAGGCTAGCATCCATCATCTGGAAGGCCAGCATCCATCTTTAGATACAATTTTTTCAAGGAAGGCCAGCATCCATCATCTGGAAGAATGTTTCTGAACTGGTTAGGGCAAAAAAATGGAAGAGGCGTGCATCTTTAAGGGCACTAACACTTAAGGCTGTTAAATCACCACAAACCTGGATTCTTGATGGCCTCGCAAAATTGGGCATGAGTCATCAAAAGCCTCTCGCGAGCACATATTGCAGCAAATAAGGGAATCTCCATGCTCATCTCAATCAAAGGTTTAACCAGCATATTTAGTAACTCAAAGTTCAAGGGCTTCTTGTTTTTAAGAAGGGCAAAATACTGCATGAGAAGACCATAGAAGATCTGGGTGGCAGACAACAAGAAACATTCAGAAAGCAAGTTAGGCATGAACCAGTTCAAAGTTGTGAAAACTTAACCAGAAAAGAACTGCAAACAGGTAAATGGATAGTGTTATCTTTGAGAGCATAAATAAAGATTACCTGCATTTTTTCCATATTTCCATCTTTCTAGATTTTAATTGGATTACTTGTCCGGATTCGACTGACAATTTCAATAACATCTGCATTGGAACAATCTTTTACTAGAGCAAGCAATTCCTCAAAATTCTTGGGGGCCTCTAGAGCATTATCACCTTTTCTCTGGACCTTAAGTTTAACTTGAGTGACACTTACCATTTTGCTAATTTAAATTTTATTGTCAATGTATATACCAAGTAATTATACAAGTAAAACCCTAAACTGATCTCTTGTAACCGTATTAGCTCAT